ACAAAGTATAAATGTGCCCATGGCCCAAGGTCACAGGCCTTGGCTGCAGCTGGGATGAATCTAGCCATAGACAGCTTTGAACTCAGAATTAAAAGGTTTCATCATGTTTTAATAATTTAGCTCCCCATCCAATAGGCTGCATAGAAATGGCTGTTCTCTCAGCTGTGATTGACCTCCATTACAAAGCATGAGATTCCCCCTTCAGATACACTAGTGGAGCATGCTCTATTCCAGCCATGAGAGCTGATATGTGAAATATTTAAGAACAGAAAGAGATGGGGGCCAATCTATCAAAACAGACACTGGCCCAAACAGAATAGAAATTGGCTATGGACCACAGGAATGCCAGTATTGATTTATAACTGCCCTGAAACCAATTAAACTCTGCTGTCAAGGACTCAGAGAGAAAATAGTTTTCCCTCTAGCATCCAAACATCCCATCTTCTGCATTTATTGAGCAAGGAAAACCGGATAAAAAAGGAAACTAATGCTAACATAGCCCCCAAGGAGTGTGCTGCTTTGATCCTATTTCAACTACCATCAATAGAAAGTGTGCAGAAGGAAGAAATACCACGATGCAGCCAAAGGGGATGCATTCTTAATTACAGCTAGATATCAAGATTAAGAATGGTATTGATTGCAAAAAGTATCTGTGGGACAGCTGGAATACTATCATATCTGCAGCACAGAGCCATGGACATGTTCCTCCTTTTGGTTGCTTCCATCCCCACTATCTGTCAATCAAATGTGGATGTAGATGCCATGTTTGATCATGTAGTAGAATGAAATAAAACGATGTCATTTTACATTAGAGATGCTTGAAACCAAGTTAGTCCCTTGATTTTTAAAAAAGTTTCAATGTCCCACTGTCTTCTGGACACTCATTTTGGGGACTATTTGACACTCCATTTCCTGAATTAATTTTCAACTATAACCACCCCTGAATGTGCCCTTCAGGTCAAAGAGGAAATATAATACACTGAAGGGAAGACTATTCTTTTTCTCTTCAACATGCTATTCAGTTGTCCCACTCACCATGAGACAGAGGGCCTGGTGCTCTGTGTCACCCTGTGGGACCTCACTTTCCCAGAGAACCTGAGGGAGAGGAGAGAGACTAGGGAACATGGAAAACACTCTGTCAGGCTTGTATTAATAATGCTTGCACAGATTTGTAGGAGATTTGGGATACTAATCACCTTTAAAGGGATGATCCTTACAAATAATTCTGATCTGAATACTCAGGAAGTTCTGTTTCATCGCGTAAAGTTGGCAGTATGTAACTCTGTGCTTGTGAATTGGCTTTGGCTGGAAAATAAATGGTGCTTGATATCATTTATTCAGTCTCAGCGACTGTGTTAACTGCTCTATATGCCTTTAATTCTGACAACCACCATATGTGTTAGCCTTTGCTGTCTCCGTTTACAGCCAAAGAAATCAATGACCATAAAGTGTAATTTATTAACAGGGCCAATTGGCAGGTCAGTGGCAGAGGCAGCCTTCCAAAAGAAGCCAGCCTGATTCAAGTCTGAGTCCTTAATAATCACTACTGCCCCAGCCTCCTTTAAGGGCCATCCTTTCTAGAAGAGAGCTATTTTCATTATAATAGCCCCAAATAGTGCAACGTAAACCTTTACATAATTTATGCCATATTTTAGATATAGGATGCAACATGGTGAATAATGACTGTCTCTTTTGCTATTGCTGATAGAAACAAAAAAAAAAAATCTACCTCTGCTTTTACATGTGAAGAATTCATTGTGACTAGCAAACTGTCAAAATGTTTGACTTTGACTTTGTGTCTGCCATACCTTTCATGATGGTGACATTGTGTTACAACAGTTCTTTAAGATACTTCTTATATGCCTTTCTGCAAGCTGGCTCAGAGCTTTGAGTTTGTCTGTGAAATGTAAAAAGGATGTTCTCCAAGTCATTTTAATCATTCTCACAGCCTTCCCTGTGGGTGTAGACATATCCTGATTCCATCTAAAGCTTTCAAGTCAGATTAATGTGCGGCCGGCCGATAATCCCAAACATAAAATGTCTGTAAAACATGGGTAACCAAGAGCTTTTTAAAGAAAATGTGCATGTTCTGCTGCTTATTGCAAAATGCATATTGTGGCGTTTGAACAAGGCTTACTGGGCATATTTCAGAATGCCACAGCTCTTTCTGAGGCTTATTTTGAAATCATCCTGCCATAAAGATGGACAAAGCAGCTGGCATTTGAGCTGCTGCTGTGGGTGGAGACCTTATCCCACAAGGAGCCTGCAGGGCCCCATTTGCTCCATTCACACTTTGTCCAAAAAGTGTGTGCTGGGCTCTAGCCAGAGGCTAAACACCTTAAGCAGCCCTGAAGGAGATACAATTGACAGAATATGCCCTCTGACTCCATGGGCCCCAGAAAGCAGGCCTGGAACAGACCCATGGAAAGTTATCTTAGAGAGGTGCTACCAACAAAAGTATTTAAAAGCTATACTAATTGTACCAGGGGAATCAGTTACTGACAGGTGTGAGTGAAGAAGTTTTGGGGGTAAGGGAGCATTTGAATTGTATCTTGAAAGAGAACCATGTCACCAGGCAAAGAAGAAAAAAAATCAATGTCATAGTATGAAAAACATTGAGTAAATCTTGGGATTGCTTGAAGATAGCCTGAAACCTTGTTTATTCATTTTAAGTATATATAGAAAATAAAGCACAGCCCAGCTGGTCTGATGTGGCTCAGTGATTGAGCATGGACCTACAAACCAGGAAGTCATGGGTTGATTCCAGTCAAGGGCACATGCCTGGATTGAAGGCTCAATCCCTACTAAGGGGCATTCAGGAGGCAGTTGATCAGAGATTCTCTCTCATTATTGGTGTTTTTATCTCTGTCTCCCTCTCCATTCCTCTATGAATCAATAAAAATATATTTTAAAAAAATAAAGCACACAACAACTGAGGAGGAAATACTTGTAGGAATATCAGAGATAAATGTGTGCTTTGACATATATGTGACACAAATATTTAAAATAAGACAGTGTCACAATCAGGCATTCAGTTCACCTGTTAACAGACTGGAGGAAGGGTATTAGGCATGATCAAGTTAGGAAACAGAGAAACAAACACGTGTGAGAGAGCATGTAAGTACTGGGTTATGACTGTGGGTTCACTAAATGCAGGAGGGTGAGCACTCAAAGACAGCAACATGGCAGCAACAGCCTAGAATATGGATATGAGAGAAACACATTGATTGGTTGCCTCCCAGGGCAAAGTCGAGAAGGAGCCTGCAACCAAGGTACATGCTCTTGACTGGAATCGAACCCCAGAACCTTCAGTCTGCAGGCCAACGCTCTATCTACTAAATCAAAATGGCTAGGACCAGGAGAGATTGATGGTCCAATTAGCTCTCCTGGAAAACAGGCTGTTCAGCAACAAAATGTACCTGGCCTCAGCAAATATTTACTGAATGAAACCAAACTAAACTAACAAAAGGCCATACTACCCAAGCCAAGGAGTTGAGCAGCTCTGAGCTAACACAGTGTCTGATTAGAAAAAGATTGACTCAATAGGGAGTTTTAAGATATCATTGAAATGATAAGAATCCTCCGAAGGGTAGATTGACATTTTTATGTAGTTTAGATTTCATACCAAGGGAATGGACACATGGAATTACCAGCTGGCACATGTGCTAAAATGACATCTGGTTTGGAGTATGACATTAAGAATGCTTTATTAAAAGAAAATGCTTTATCCTTAACTTTTATATGACTAGTGAATATGAAGCTTGTGTAATATCCTCTAAAGCAGTGGTCGGCAAACTCATTAGTCAACAGAGCCAAATATCAACAGCACAACGATTGAAATTTCTTTTGAGAGCCAAATTTTTTAAATTTAAACTTCTTCTAATGCCACTTCTTCCAAATAGACTTGCCTAGGCCATGGAATTTTGTGGAAGAGCCACACTCAAGGGGCCAAAGAGCCACATGTGGCTCAAAAGCCACAGTTTGCTGACCTCTGCTCTAAAGCCTACATTCTCCATTTGTGCTATGAAAACAGTATAAATCTAGAAACTGGTTTGCTAATGCCCTAATAGATTCTGACGTCTGAGCATCTTCTGCAGGATATACAAAATGCTTAGAGCAACCTCTCCAGTATAAAATGAATTTATTACTAAAAATAACCTGCCTTGAGTCCTTTTAATAGTTTGCTCAGCTCTCCCTATGGGTGTAGACATATCTGATTTCATTTAAAGCTTTCAAATCAGATAAATGTGCAGCCATCACATAACCACAAAAACAGAATGTCTATTAAAATATGGGGATGAACTACCAAAGAACTTCAAAGACATAGATATTTTGAGGTTTATAAAATTTTCCCTTGATTTGTCAAAAACACTATTTAATATATGCATCCAGAGTGAAGAGATAATACCTCTCTTATCAAAAGTCTAAAACATCAACTACAAATTTGTACTAAAGGCTAGTCAGTGTTACGGCTAGTCAATTTATTAAGAGGCAAGAAAACAGTTAAAAGTCCATAGAGTCATCGGTGAGGTTAATTCCTGACTCTACCATTTTCAGGAAGCTGAGTTTTAAAATCTGAAAAAAATCATAACAGAATACACCTTACAGATTAAAAGACAAAATGTAATCACCTCTATCAAAGCACTAGGGATGGAATCTTACAAATACAGTGATGCTCAATAATTTGGGGGTGCCATTATTATTTTAGTTTGATTTCCATTCTGGCACTCAGTGGAAGTTTAAGAGGTTGCATCTATATTTATCAAATACAATTCTTACAATTTTAAAGTGCTTGGTATAAATTTGAAAAATTAAAATTGAGTTCTGATTTTATCCATGTAAGATCACTTGGTTTCCTCTATTAAACACCAAGATCATGTAATATATGACAGACATGTCATTAAATTTACCAACATGTACATATGCCTCTTTTGTTACCTTAGATACTTTGTTGAGTTTAATGAGTGTTAAGTCATTACATAGGCTCTCAGACACTAGAATGAGTGAGAACATGAGTTTATTATGTAATCTGTGAGCTCCTTAGCAGTAGGGTCATACTTTTCTCTGATCCCCTCTATAACCTAACATGATCCTCCATATAAAGTGGATGAGGAGTAAATACATTGAACAAGCAAACACATTTCTTTAGAACATTGTGGAGTAGAAGGTATATTTTATATGGCTAAGACTGTATTTTAGTTGCCTATAAGACCTCTAAACACAGCCCAGTGCCTGGAACAGAGCAGAAGTTTAATAAACTTTTTTGAATGAATGGTATTCCTCAAATAAGGATCTGGTCTTCTTAGAATAAGGTCTTTAACCCTTGATAAAAGTAGCCCGAAATACATGAATATTATTTTGAATGAAATATCCCAAACTTAATATGAGTACCACTGCCATTGATAGTTATTTTTCCAACAGAGATTCTACAAATAATTAATACTAGTTAACTGTAGTGTCCTGATTTTATTTCCTGGTTTGATCTCTAACATATTATTAATGAAATGGCACAGAGGGGATTTAGAAAAGAGGGGGGAGGGGCTGGAAGATCATAAGGTTAATCCAGAGTCAAATTTGGGCATATGGATAAGTTTTTCATGAGTGCTAATTAAAGGTATAGGTAGATGAGCGATCGATAAAAAATTTTCAAGTAGAAAACCAAAAGAATTCTTGAGGAAAATTGACATTTAAGGCCAATAATTTATAAGGGAAAAAGACTACTCTGATTAGATAACTACACTGGTGTTTACCTATATGCTAAATAAGATAGGCTTCACAAATACAAAATAATATGCTCAAAGTATGTGTTTACATTTTAAATATATTTTTAGGAATGCATGATTTAATAGAAGAGAACATGAAGATTTCATGTAAAACCTTTACATGACTAGAGTCAAATGATCTTAAAACACCAACACTGTCTTCAAGGTTAGGAGGGAACAAAAATCCTGTTCTCTCCTTCATTCCTGCCCTCTTCCTGTATGATCTAGAACCATTCCTCATTTCTCTACCATTAACAAGCACTGGCTGTAACCCAACAAAATGTACTCAGATAAACACAATGTGGTTTTCTTTTAAAATAAGCCTTTACTGAATATATCAACAAGGTACTGTATAGTGTAGAGTGAATTTGTAGTTAACAAAGTGTGCGACATGGTAGGTCTCAGAGGGTGAGCGATGCAGAATCTTCCAGCCCCTTGCAGTCCCTTGTCAACGGGTACTCACGAGAACAGAAGCAAATCAACATATGATTCAAACAATAACACATCATCAGGGTTAACACTCAGTGAAGACATGCTGGTCCTCTGAGGGACACACAGTGGCAACGCCTTCATCTTGCCTCCGAAATGTTATAAATCTGACATCCCATCTCTCTACAAATGACCCAGCATGTGTGTTTGTGTGCACACACGTATTTTACACTTGTTTAAAAATGCCTGTTGTGATGGCCTTGCTTTGTGCTCTTCTGGTGGGTGTGCTGCTAGGTAAACGAGGCGCTTAGTAAAATGACATGACTTGTGTATTCTAACAACAGTGTCATATGTGTACAAAAACGTTCTCCCCACACTCGGTGACAAGCATCCCCCATCGCCAGTACTGTCTTTCTATCCTGCTGAAGACATCAGAGAAGGATGTACATGACAGCTTTCTATATTAGAGTTTTGTGTGAAACATAAGAGCCTCAGGCAAGGTTTGACAGAATTGAGGACTGGAAGGGGTCTTTTGTTTGTTGTGTGTATATATCTCTTTCCCAGTTGGGCACTCTTTCCTGCTTCGCTTTCTCAAGTAGCTGGAAAGGTAAGTCATTAGCAAAGTTATTCTCACCTTCTAAAGTGAAGCGTAATGTCTCCTTGTGATGGGTTAGAGAAGGGTGTTATGAACAAAGACGTCAATGGAAAGTAACCACTTCACTGTCAAAGTTTGCTATGGCCTGCAGGACCACCTCTGCACCCTGTGTTAGGAATGGATGCTCTGCTCACACGAAGAGCATGTCCTCAGTGGGGAAGTTCTGACTCCTGTGAAATGTCTGAGACCATTATAATCTGCACTGGTAGAAAATGGATCTGTAATATTAACTACTTCATTAATATGTCTTACCAGACTGGTCAAATGACACCCCCCCTTTTTTTTTTAACCTCAGGGCAGGGGAAATTTTAGTGTATTTTCAACCAACATCCAGATAATTAGAAATTGCAATATTTCTCATGGGTAGTACGAGGGGAACACAGTCCAGTCTCTGCCTGTGACTGTCCCATGTGATGGCCCACTAATGCGTCTGGTAGTTTTGAGGAAAGCCCAGGGTCCCTCCATGATCAAACCCATTTCCTTAAACAAGCAGGTATGATGACCCTGGACATGATTGGTGGTCAGTAATATCTCTATGATCATGACTATGCCTCTTTCTTAGGAGTCTCCTCTGCATGCTGGTGGCCTACTCTCTGAAATCATCTCACTTGGTCAGACAGCATCAAGCCAGTGGGTGTGGCTTTGTTCACCATTTTGGCCTGCACCTTCAACTTTGACTGTGGACTGAACACCTCAGAATATATAACGATGCCAGCAAAACAGGCCCAAATACCTTGAAGCATACTCCACCACTGATGGTTGTTGAGCAGTTTTCCTAAGACACATACCATATTACACATCCCATGATGTGTTTCTCACCTTGGTGTAGGTGAGCGCCTCAGGTATGTGATTACAAATGGGGTCTGCTTTCCATTTTAGCCATCTTTGTCATGTTGCACTACAAGATGTAACCAGATTATCTCTCTTCGGGAGCATCTTCTAGCAACGGAGCCTTTTGCAATCATCCTAACCATTTCACAGGACTAGTTCCCAATATACCCCTTAAGCCCCAAATGATCATGTGAATCCCATAAGATGTGAAAGAACCTCTCCAACCTTGGCCCAGAGTAAATCATTTTAGCAGCCAAATATCCCTAGGGGTTAGACACACAATGCAAATAAATAAGAGTGATTATTCTGTGAATAAAAGGAAAAACAACTCAAAAGTCCAAGTACCATCATTTGAACACATAGTTTTATCTACACAGCCAAGGTGAGGGGGGCGGTGGGAGTGAATTATCCAGGTGAATACACAAAACCCCATGTCATTGTCCTGAAGTTGAGGCGGTTCACTGCTTTTACTGACCACCTGCACAGACTGTCTCATCCCTTCACTGTGTGGGCCTCGTTCGAGAAAAGCAATAGCCAAAAACTTACTAGCTAATCAACTAAAATGGAAATCAAAATCATTGTAGAATTAATTCAATTAATTCATTGTTAATTTCAGCTCCACGGACTGCACAGTTTCCATTCTTGTGTCTAGAATATGATATCATCCATTATGTTTTCTGCTTATTCTGAGGGAGAAGGAAGGCTAAAACATATAAGTGGGGGCTATATGATTAAAGAAAATAAAGCTCTTACTAGAAAGAAAAACTTGCATAGCATTGTATACCTAAACGTACAAAGAAGACACATCACAGTTCGATTTTGTTGAAAGTGGGTGACAGAGAGAGAGAGTGTGTGTGTATGAGTGAGCGCAAGCACAAAATGATTGTGACATTAAATTTCTGGGTCCCTAAAATAATGGCCAGTGGTAGAGAAAATATGCAACAGAGTGAAATGCCTAAATTTGCCTTTGCAAAGAATTTTTTCCAGGGTATATTTTTTTCAGAGGATATATGAGATCTATAGCCCTTCTAAATCTAAGGGATTGAAAGGAGGAAATTATATATGCTTTCTGAAGATGGGCATTGCCTCAAAACGGTCCAGATTGAAGCATGGACATCCCTCTCTTCTCTATGCCCTCCGCTCTGTGCCCAGCCCTGCCAAGATTAGGGGAAAAACTTGGCTCTCTGACTTGTTCATTTTTCATCTGTTATCATGTTAATATAAGATTGATTATCCCTCTGCAATTCCCAAAGAAGAGGAACATCCAAGATTGAAAAGGAATAAATAAAATTTCAAAATGGGACAGAATCAAAGTCAGTCCAAGGAGAAAACTCAATATTGTTTGTTTGTTTTAAATGCATTTTTGTTCAGTTTTGATGTGTCCTCATAGAATTATTAGCGGTGAAAATTAGTATACATCTTAAAATATATATGGATATTTTGTGCAACCAAAACTGGCATCCATAATTTTCTTTCAAATTTTGAGCAGAGCAGGGAGAAAAACAAACAGCATAAACAGCTAATTATGAAAATATAGGTGAGGTGACTGGAAGACAAGAATTTGCCAGGGGTTAAAGGTATTAGTTCAAGCTATTTCAACATGATACTAACAAAGGCAGTTGACCATATAGCAGAACCACTGATCTCTTGCTTTTGTTCTGAAGAGTATCAATAATTTTTAACTGCCAAGCTGTTTTAGTCTATTCCAAACATTGATGACCCCTTGTTTGTCTCAATATCATGTTGACATAGCTGCAGTGACTCTACCAAATAATTCTCATTATCAAAAATAATTCCATTCAATATAATCTTCCCATTATTTTTTATTAGCCTCTTCTAAAAAAAGTATTCTAGAATATATCTCTGTTGAATGTGATTCAACCTGACATATACTTTGAATAGTAACACTTCTAAAGGGAAATCTTCTTGCTGGGACATCGTACATGTCCCTGAAGATGAGTCGAATCAGACTCGGGTCTCTAACTCTGTCATCACATAGGACCAGGGAAGGATGAGGAGTGATTTTTTTTTTAAGTTCCTGGTCTGAACACCAACCCCCAGGTTTGAGAGTCCGTTCAAAACTCGCTTCATTTTCTTGATGCCGCCCGTTTGGGTTAAGGCATCTCACAGGAACTGCCTTCCTGGTGATGCTCTCTCCATTTCCTGCTTTGGGTCAACTCAGGGTAACTACCTCCTTTCTTATATTTTGGCATTTTTTTAAAAAAAACTTTTCTTCCAGACCAAGAAGTATAGAGATAGCCTGAACATATCTGGGCCATCCTTTGCTTGACCCCCATTAATGTCTCCTACCCTGATGAGTCCATTTGCAGGGCCCCTTTTGTCTGACCACCAGCTCTAGGAAAAGGCATGTGTCCTGACAGCGTCAACAGCAAAGTGGTGAATGTGCATCAGAAGGAAGAAATCACCGGTTTTCTCTCTCGCCTTGGCGTTGGGTTCTCTTTTGTACCACCCTGTACAGTACTTCAGCGACTATAGATATATTTTTGTAAGATTTTTAAAAAGCAAAAGAGTTACAAAACCGTCTGTAATTAACTTGAAATAGAAAAGATAGCACTTTTTTTTTTAAATCCCATTATATAGTACACCGTATAAATTACAGAGTATTCAAATGCACAAACGCATCTGAGGAACATTTATCAAATGTAATCTGCGTGTCTCTAGGCCGCACACACACACACACGTGTGTGTGTGTGTGTGTGTGTGTGTGTGTGTGTGTGTGTGTGTTTGTATGTTCCCGGGAGGGTCCCCGCGGGCCAGGCCGTCACGTGTGGCAGTGCTCCAGGTCTGGCACGCTGCTGTTGCAGTACCGCATGTTGTTGGGGATGTGGCAGTCCGTGTAACTGATGCCCCCGTTCGGGGTGTAAATGGGCTGCAGTCGGAAATCTCCTTTAAGGAGCTGATCGTTATTTAAGGAGACGATCTGGAAGCTGGTCTCCGTCATCTCCAGGATGGAGTTGTCCTTCTTGGTGCCCGCCTCGCAGTAGTCGTCTTTCCGCCGGCCGCGGTTGTACTTCCACTTCTGGGACGTGTAGCGCCCCTTCTTGTGCATGTGCCAGCAGAAGACGCCCAGCAGGGCCACGAGCACGAAGATCACGGCGCCCCCGATCAGGCCTGCCAGCAGGAACGGGGAGCCCAGGCTGTGGGGCGTCGTCGTCTGCTCGTGGCTGGAGGCCGTGTTGCTGCTGCTGCCGTTGTTCAGATACGAGGCGAGCGTGGTGACCTCGGAGCACACGGTGTCCTCCGCCGCCCGGTGGTTGAACGCGTCCAGGGGCACCAGGCAGATGCGGTAGGTGGACCTGGGCTCCAGGTGGACCAGGCTCAGGTGCTGCTTCTCCCCGCTCACGATGCGCTCCTGCACGATGCCCCCGACCAGGCTGTGGCCCATCTTCACCCACGTGAGCTTGTAGGCCATCACGGCGAAGAGGGACAGCCAGCTGACCTGGATGGACGTGTCGTTCACGAAATGCACCGACAGCTGGAGGCGCTCCGACAGAGGCGGGGTCCCCCTCTCTCTGCCATCCCCGTCGTCCAGCAACGTGGGGACCTTGGAGGCGGTGGGGGTCGGAGGCGGGTAGCTCCTGCCGGGGGTGGGGGCGGAGGGCGTGGGTGGCTCAGTGGTCGGAGCAGCGGTGCTGGGAGCAGGGGTGAAGACGGGCAGGCCCGGGGTCGTGGTGGGACACGACAGGAGATTCAGATTCAGCTCCCTGACAGCCATACCCCGCACCTGCTCGGGCCCCTGGCACATGAAGCCGCGCACGTTGAGGGAGGGAGGGATGTACTTGAGCCACTCGGTGACCCACTTGATGCCGCAGTCGCAGAGCCACGGGTTGTTGCGTGCCGTGAGCTGCTTCAGGTTGGAGAGGCTGTCGAAGACCCCGCGGGTGAGCGCGCGCAGCCGGTTGTTGGAGATGTCCAGGCGCTCCAGCTTGCGGAGGTGGGCGAAGGCCGTCAGGGGGATGTGGGTGATCTGGTTGTCCTGCAGGTACAGCCGGAGCAGGTGCGCGCCCGGGAGGTCGGGCGGCGGGTGGGAGAGCGAGTTCCTCACCATGGAGAACTCCTTGAGCCTGGTGAGGTGGCCGAAGGTGCCGTCGGCGATGCCCTTGTTGGTCAGGAGGTTGCCGTCCACGATGAGCCGCTCCAGGCTCGTGAGGTTCTGGAAGGCCATGTCCGAGATGACGGCGATCCGGTTCTCGTCCACCCGCAGCTCCTGCAGGTCCACGGGCAGCCCCACGGGGACGCTGCTCAGGTGGTTCTTGGAGAGAAACAGCAGCTTGAGGCTGACCGCCTCCCGGAAAGCCCCGTCCTCCACGCCCACCGTGGAGATGGAGTTGTCGTCCAGGTGCAGCTCCTCCAGCTTCAGGAGCTGGGCCAGGGCCACCCGCGAGATGGTCTGGATGTTGTTCTCCTGCAAGTGGAGGACGCGGACGTTCTTAGGGAGGTTCATGGGGAACTCGTCCAGCTGGTTGCCGTACAGGTAGACCGTGTGCACCGACTGGACGTTGTGCAGTTCCGCAGGGAAGCCCGCGTTGTTGATTTGGTTGTTGTGGAGGTAGAGCACGGTTACGCCCTCCGGGATCCCAAGAGGCACTGAGGTCAGGCTGCGCTCGTTGCAGTAGACGAAGTTGCGGTCGCAGCGGCACACGCTGGGGCACGCCGGGACTTTGGACACTTGTGAGCAGAGCCCCAGGGAAATGAGAAGCCAGGATTTCAGGAGAAAGGCCCCATGGCTGGGCCACCGTGTGGTCTGCAGGCCCATTGCTGAAGTACAGAAATCAAATACAATGCGCTGGGCAAAAGAAAAAGATGAAGAAGAAGAAGGGGGGGAAAAAAAAGCAAAACGAAAATGATTGGATGGGGTCTGTTACAGTCTAGAAATCCAACCAGAGAAAAAGTCCCAAAGGCCAACGGTGGAAGGATCTTCCTGTGGCCTCTGGTCTTATCAACCTGTGGTGCCCTCCTTGCTGTTGTCCTCCATGTGCAAAAAATTAAAATTCAAACAAAGGAGCAAAAATTCAATAGAGAAAATTTTCTATATAGACGCTCCACGCAATAATTTTCTGCACAGGCAACTAAGGAAGCCAAGTTATGAGCGCTCAGTAGGGGCCCAGCTGGGCAGGCGGAAGACCCTTCTCCGATAGTAGTTCCGATCAGCGTTAGTCAGCCTATGAACTTCTCGGTTAAACTCAATCTGCAACCTGTTGTAGGGAAGTAGAGAGAAAAAAAGTCAGTTAAGGGAAGTAATGGAAGAAGCATTGACCTGATTGTACACCTTTCAAGAATGATGTAATTGGGACTAAATGACTAGAGGCAGGTGATTGGCATTAAGTGGCACTTTAAGTAACAACGATTTCCTTGCGAAGGTATTCAAGAAATGAAAATGACTCAATTATCTTCCAAACAAAATCATACTGTTATCTCTCGCTACAGATGATCAGATTGTGCATTTTACAATCGCAATCAGCACCTTCTCTTCGGTACCTATTTGCATATCAAAATAGATAGGCACACTGCTGAACCCACTGAACCAAATATGGAGGTCACCTACAAATCCAACTGGTCCAAGTCTTGTTTGCAAGATGAGACAAGTGAACGAGGAACTAATGATATTTTTAAGGGAAAACGATGTGAAACCCTTTTGAGTTATAAATAAACCAATGCGAAATAGGGACTGGCAAAGTCATTTAGAAAGATGCAGCCTATGGGTGTGTGTATGTGTGCGTATGTATTTAATTTTTTTATTGATTTCAGAGAGGGAGAGAAAGCTAGGAACATCAATGATGAGAATCATTGACTGGATGGTTCCTGCTTCCTCAATCCTACTGAGGATTGAGCCCATAATCCAAGCATGTGCCCCAACTGGGAATTGGACCATAACCTCCTGGATCATAGGTCAACATTCAACCACTGAGCCACCATGGCCAGGCTAAAGATGCAGCCTTTGGATCTGGCACTGTGCTGAAGCACTATAAACAAAAGGTGCCAATGGATGAGTGACGGCAGAGAGAAGACATTCCTTCCCCATTTCTTGCTTCTTCTCATCCTTTGTCTTTCTCCAAAACAGTTTACATCCAAGTTACCAGTTAGAATGACCAAACTCCAGTCCATAACATTTTCACTTATCCTTCTTTTGGGACCTCCAAGTGCAGATGAGATACGCCACTGTGATTCCTTTGAGGGTTGCAGAGCTCCTGATTGGGAATACATTATTTTTCAACAGCAGAACCTTCTTCCCAACTATGAGTTTTTCCTACTTTTAAAGAAGGACTTTGACAGGATAGAAGATACTGTTGTGGAAGTGAAGGCAACCCACGGATAGCAACTGTGCCTTCATGCTCCAGGACGTGTCTCATCTGTTTTGAGATCAGAGAGGTAAAGGAGCTAATTGAAAGGTGTCAGATTTGATTTTCTATGCTAACATGACAGGACATGGAAAGCTATGAGTCTCTTAATTCTCACCAATATCCAGAGATTGAAATAACTTATATCAAAATGCATGGAGGGACTATTTGAAATCATTCTCTTAGCTATCTTTAGAAACATAATTAAAAACCAAACAGACTTGTAAGTGCTATTGAAGTGTCAAGGATATTGTAAATGTCTTCTATAATTTAAAAGATGGTGAACCATCTAAAAATGCCTTTCATGACCAAAATGGTCAGATTGATTACTTATTGTTCAGAAACCTGTTCTTTAAAAAAAAGTGGGGTTATCTGAGGGTGGGGGTCTCTTTCTAGGCATAAACAGATGGGTGTGTTACTTTATTTAAAAAAAAATCAGACATCATTTAACTTGTTAAACTTACAGATATATGGTTTGCCACTGAACAGCAGCCATCCCCTCTAGCAAAATCCCTTAATGTTTAAAGAATACAACTAAGGGTAGAAAAGGAAAAATAAGTTTAATGTCATACGCTTGGTGCCTTCCTTAGCTCAGGTTTCAAATGTTCAAACCATCTCAATATTCCCCAATAGCCTGCTACTCAAGTATGACCCTTGGTCCAGGACCATCACCTTGACCTACATGTTAGTGAGAGCCCCTGGTGTACACATTGAAATCAAAGCACTATCCTACACACAGTGCCATCTCACTTACTCATTCAGCTTTAATTTATTACATGCAAAGTGAGTGGATGTAATGATGTCCAATGACTCTTTTGAGAAAAGTACAGGCATAAGGCTTACTACCTACTTCTGTCCCCAAGAGACACTCTCAAATTACATCTGACATGCAAATGACATTTTATAGGTGGGGCAGTGCAGTGACAACATATGTCACCTGGCCTTAGCAGACACCTGAAGAGTGTTTATCTGAATGACAAGCCCTGTCTGGTCTGAGTCATTTGTAATCAGAGGAGTCCACTTGCATGCTTTATTGAAGGACAAAAAAGTGTGCAGTGCTATTAGCACTTATTCTTCAAAGGAGGTAGGAAACGGAGACTAAAAGAATAAAATCTAGTGTTTCTGTGTCCTCCACAGGAAGCTTCAAAGCGTGGAAGTAACCCACAGTGAATAAAACTTTCCTAAAAGGGAAAAACAGCTGCCCCAGGGTCTCTCAGTCAGTTCCTATAACAACAGTAGATGCTTAACTGTGCTGACTAGCCAAGATTTTAGGGCCTGAAAAACAATAAACCAATACTTGAGGGTGACAGAATTTACTTGAGCGTTCCTCAGCTAACAGCCTCTAGGCCATAATCACTGGGAGTGAACAAAGTGTTCAGGACTGGACCTGGACTGTCATTATGTACCCAAATTGGAAACTTTCCACCTGCCTGAGCTGTGTCCTCTGCAGGAAGCAGAGTAAGTCCCTCTGCCCCAGGCCTTTGCCCTTGCAGGTCATGCTACTCAGGAGTGCTTCTTTTCTAATTGCATGAGACAAAGATTCCATCCTGAGAAGGACTCCTCACAGAATTTCAGGGCAAACGTTACTGGGTATCCACCTTTCTCCGAGGAAAGTCCCGTCTAGATCACAATGTGCTGATCAGCTATGACAAGTGCAATTTGAAATGACAAGCTCTCAGGGGTTTTGCTGAGCTTCCTGGGAACCCGGCAAAATAGCAGTGCATGGTAGATTGTTTTTCTCATCCTTGGATCAACAACAGCCTTCATAGTATGTCAGCCAATATACTGTGTCTTTGTGCAAAGCAGTGCAAGTATAAAATCACAAACACGTAGAAAAAGACATTTTTGAATTTCAGTAGGCTATCTATATTTTCAGCTCTAAGTCCTAGTGAATACTGAAGGCAGAAACCTTGTTAGATCTCAAGCTGGAGATAATTACAGAGAAAGTAGTATGGAGCCATAGTCAAAAGACAGGGCCTTGAGTTCCCATCCTATCTCTGACCCTCAGTAGCCATTGGACTCTGGATAACTTAACCTTTTAAGTCTCAGCCTCCCCATAAGAGAAAAGAGTTCCTAACTCACAGCACTCTTGAGAGGATTAAATTTGATAAAATGAAAAGCTTATAGAGTGCCTGACACATTGCAAAAATATAGTAATTATAAACTTCTTCTCTGTGTACTTTTTATTGGTACTATCCAAAGAGGTAAACTCCGGTATATAAAGCAAAATAAAATCACTTTTGACCTGGCACCACCTGTGCCCATTCTCTTACCCCAGGATTTCTCAACCTTAGAACTACTGGCACGTTGAGCCCCATGATTCTTTTGTTATGGAACTGCCATAACCACCCAAACATGTCTCCAGACATTGCCACATAAATGTTCCCTGGGATGCACATCTCCCCAGGTTGGGGAACATTTACCTGCCCCATCATCTGAGCACCTGGAAGGGTTGACATTATTATTCTGATTTTACAAAGAAAATTAAAGGTCACTTTCTAATGAACAAAACCTAAACATGCACCTTGCCGCACACACTGAAAATACAGTATGTTTTGCGTTCATTTCCTCAACCAGTATTGACTGGGCACTAGAATGAGGTGCAGTCTTGTTGCAGAGCTCATGTGGTTTTTGTGAGGCTTAAAGTTTAGTGAGTGGAGAATGCTGGCTAAGCAGGGAATTGAGGTATTGCTTAAAGAGCACCAACTTTGGGGCATCTGAGAATTATGGTACCGTGTAAAGAGCAGTAATTTATCCCATGGGTTATCAGGCAAAACACACTGATGGGGAAGGATCATCTATGTGACAACCTGAAAGATAAGAAGCTGCAAGCAAGGGAAGATTCAAGAAGTTCTGCACATGGATCCAAGTTGGTTTTAATGTTGGTCAAGAGGCAACACTCAGCCCAGCTGAGAAAAAGAACAAAGCTTGGTCTGCACAGCCCTTTGTCCCAACTCTGTCTGCTCCTCAGTAAGGTAGTCCAGTTTCTAGAAGATCATAAACAAGCCCATGTTTCAATCACTGGCCATTTCTTTTCTTGTTTTAATATACTTTATTGATTTTTTTACAGAGACGAAGGGAGAGTGATAGCTAGAAACATTGATAAGAGAGGAACAATGACCAGCTGCCTCCTCCATACTCCCCATTGGGGATGTGCCCGCAACCAAAGTACATGCCCTTGACCAGAATCAAACCTGGGACTCTTCAGTCCGCAGTCCACTGAGCCAAAATGGTTTCAGCATCACTGGCCTTTTCATTGAAAGTCTCTACTGCTGGGAATAAAAAGATGTGGCTTCACAGAATGGATTTCAAATATTGAGAGCAAAAGCTGTGGCTTTTCTTTTTCTCTTTCCCTATTTGTTTAAATGCTGCATTAACTATGTTTCCCCTCCAGGAAACTGGAGATTATGAGGACTGGCTCCATGGAAGGCACTAGGTAAAAACATAAATTTGTATTTAAAAGCAGAAAACTCCATTTCAAAACCCTGGGTGTAAATCAACGTGCAACCACCGCTCTCTGGAGACAGCAAGACCTGGCCCTGCCAATGCGTTGAAGATGACAGTAACAGCAGTTCTTCCAGACACTTCGCTGTAACACTGTTCATGGGAACTTAGACCCCAAGCACACAAATCATGGAAAAGCTTTCCGTAAGGTGTTTCCCTCCCAGTGCTGCCTGAGAAGATTTCTTTTTAATTAATTCCAGGAGCCTCTATTCCAGGAGCGCTTAATAAACTCAGGCTATAAAAATCATAGTTCAGAACATAGGAACTGTCCATAAGCACTGGCCATGGCATGATATAATGATACTCGGACAAACCTAATAAAATCTTAATGGGTTCAGTATTGGCTGGATTGT